TGACAATCGATGAGTGGCATCGAATTGTTGCAACACATCATCATCCAAACGCTGACCACTAGTACCAAGAGGAGCAGAGGGAGAAGCCGGCTGATGCAAAGAAGGCAAGACCAGGGCCGTATCCCTTGGAAGCCCCGGCTACCTCCTTAGATGGATCCACCGCCACGACCATGGTCGCCCCCGGAGTCAGCAAATCCACAGCAGTGTGATCACCAGGGAACCCTGTCTCCCTCACAGCCACCTCGCCGACTGTACATTCCGGGTCCTGAGACTCAGTACACAGGAGCGCAATAGAGGATTGACAAGAGGTCGACTGAGGGTTAAGGGAAGGCGAGGGTCTGCAAGATGATAAGGAAACTCAACGATAAGAATATAAATCAGAAAAAAGGAAAACAGAAGCAAAGAAACACAAACCAGATTCACTCACTTAGCTATTTTCTTCTTCATAAAATCCCCAAGACGAACAGAAGATCTTAGAGGGGGAACTATAGTAGCAAAAATATCACCACCACTCTGCGACAGGAGTGGTGTGGTCGGTACCAGAGCCCTAGAAGAACTCGAGCTCGACGACCGCTTACTACAAGAGAACAAGGCCAAAGTCAGAACAAAAAGAGGAGTTCAACAATAGAAAAACAAAAAACAACTCACCGACGCATGACAAGGGCCGCATCATCATTCTCATCTTCCTCACCCTCAAACAAGGCAACCACAGCGCCATCTGAAAATGGAAAGCAGTACTTGGTTAAAGGCACAAACAAACAACAAAAAGACAAAGCGCATTAATATGCTCACCTAGGAGCATGCTACCTATAACTTGAGTACCTAGATGAGTACTCGACTGGCGAGGCTTCTTGGTAGCAGACAAACCAGAAGAAGAACAATCCGCTCGCCCCCTTTTTCCGACACTACGAGGAGCTCGAAGAACTGGATGAGGAACATACTCTACATATGCGTCAAGAACTGCGGAAGAAACACTAGGAAACATCGTGGTAGTTTGAAACTTACTGGTTAAAAATGCCCTAGCAAGACTATCCCTAGTCTCCACAATGGCAGGGCAGTCATCAAGGGGGATCGGATCAACGAAGTTACGCCCCAATTCCTATAAAAGAGTAAAACAACCAGACAAGAAAGATTAAGCAAAAAGTGGAGACAGCAAAGGAAATACAAAAAGTATCCGCATAAAAAAACAACTCACAACAGGAGGCGGGTTGTTAACACAATACTCAAGGACAGCATGCGGAACGACGCTTACTCCTTTCAACATCTTCTGAAGACGCTCGAGCACCTCCTCATCATTCAACTCAAGGGTAGGGACCATATGAGAAGGATCCTCCGCCCCAGAGTATTCAAAACCATAATTCTCTCGCTCCTTTAGAGGCTGAACACGGCGACGAAGAAAACTAGAAACGATACCGAAGCCGGTCAAGCCCTGCTGTTTCAGGGTACATATCCTCTCAAGAAACGGCTTGATCGCCTAGAGCTCATCCATCATTAGGGGATTCTTTTCCCATGGGTCATTAACCACGGGACCAGAACCAGAATGAACAGCAAGAGGAGGAATCAAATTGGCGGCATAAAACCAGTCGGCACGCCAATCCCTCACAGAATCAACTAAGTCATAATCAAAGAATTTACTCTTAAGACCCTTACAAAACTGAATTCCGTAGCCACCAAGAACATGGGTGTCATCGCGCGCGGGGTTGTGGCTTCAGACAGAAGAAGTAACGAAAGAGAGAAAGAGAAGGAGGAATTTCAAGAAAAGTTTCACAAAGATAAACAAAAACAGAAAGATGAAGGTCGACATTGGGAGCAAGATGGTTCAAGCTAATCCCAAAATAACTGAGAAATCGATGAAGAAAAGCAGAAGCAGGAAGACAGAGTCCAGCACAGATAAATGAGACAAAAAGAACAATCTCATCAGGACTTGGAGTTGGGACCCGATGCTGGCCTAGAGCTTTCCAATCAGCAAACTCCTTGCCCTGGATCAGACCATCACTGACAAGCTCGCGTAACTAATCCTCAGTCGTAGTCGGAGCCGACCAGATCTTCTGAGCAACCCTCATGGCCATAAATTCTTGATTTTCAATCACAGAAAGCGATGCCTCCTCGTCTACAAAGATTGTCTGGGACTTGCTCGCTGATTTCTTCCTACCCATATACTAGCGAAAGCAATAAAGCACTAAGAAACGATGATGCTTAGACGACGGCGCTAAGATGACGGCGACAATGGCGACAGCGGAGTTTTGAAGACTAGGGTTTCAAGGCAAAAGCAGGGCAGCGAAGAAAAAGAAGAAGAAAGGCCTTTAAATAGATTTTACAGCAATAGAAATGTGGCCCACCAGGCCCGTTTAAACACGGCATGAGAATACAACGATCTATTTCACACCACAACTGACACAGTAGAAATGACGGACGGCACACTTCTATACAAAGGTACAGTTCAACGGGCAGATTTCAGACTTATCCATCCAGCACCACGGCAGAGTTATCATATTGCTACAAAAAGAACTCATCAACCATGAAGCAACAAAGGGTTACCTCACAAGGAACATAAGAACCCGATTCTTATAGAAAGAACTCGGGAATCTCATAAACAACCAGGACATTAGCAGAAAAAAGAATGACAACTCAGAAGAAAAGATTCTTTCTATTACAAATGGCTTCAAAAAATATAAGATTACACATCTTACAAGACCCAATGAACTCGGTACTATGACAAGCAAGGTAGCAAAAAGAAACACGGACACAGCTAGGCTCTAGAACGACTACATATTCCAAATTACTACTCGGTAGAACAAACCGTACTCGGATACACTGTTTTCTTCAAAGGACGAACACAGTACATCCAAGACGGAAATCAACAGCACGACAGGACAACATGGACCAAAGGAGGTTTGCAGACATCTGTCTACCCAAACCCGACGTGATGTAGGATCAGGTGTTGATCTGCACCGGACAGTCATAGAGCAAACGAGGAAGATCAACCCAGAACTGCCGGATGAAGGAACGTATCCCACATCACAAGACTTCCTCCAACTACCGCGCACGTACCTCCTGGTACAATGCCGCTGCGAGATTAGTCTACTTCTAATCCCTATCACAAGACTCCCTCCAGCTACAACAAGATACACAAGAACTATAAAATACGTCCAGGGCTGCTCTACTTCACAAACTATCATATTCATGACTACGGAGATTTCAGACCACGCAACAAAATGCTCGATGAATCAAAACAGCACACCAGGAGGATATTTATAGACCAAAGAAGCGGTGCACATGGACCGGGAGCACAAACGGAACAAACCTAACAAAGAACACAGTGAAAAGACATAATTCAATAAAAGAGGACTCAGGCGTGAAGGAACAGTACTCAAGAACGAGCGTATTCGGAAGAATATACCAACACTGTACAACTCGTGAACAAACAGTATTTACTCTCAACCACCACCATACAACTACATCTGACAACAGTAGATTACCAGAGAACATGCCAAGATCCTGTATCCGAGTTCTTTTTAAATAAAAGAAACCAGGTATATGCTCGGGGGCTGCAACAGGAGAGGTTTTTAGTTTTTTGAACAACTCAGATTCAAGACCCTCCAACTCTTTGTTCTAAATAGCAAGAGGCTCGGAGGTTACACTCAATGAGTGCATTTTTTCTTAAAAAAGTGCACATCACTCAGAAGACTTCTTCAAGACAGCAGTTTTCAAACAACATAAGATTCAAGACCCTCCAACTTTTTATTCCAAATAGCAAGAGGCTCGGGGGCTACACTCAGTGAGTGCACTTTTTTCTTCGAAAAAGCGCACGTCACCAAGAAGACTTCTTCAAGACAGACCACTTCAAAACCTCACGACAAAAAGAACCTGAATCGAGCTATATCCGAGTTCTTATTGATAAAGAACCCGGCTATATGCTCGGGAGCCCTTCGACGAAGAATTAGAGTAATTTCAAGACAAGACCCTCCAATTCCTTGTTCCAAATAGAAAGAGGCTCGAGGGCTACACCCAGATGGGTATACTTTTTCTTCAAAAAAGCACAAACCACTCGAAGATCCTAAGAAGCGCTACACGATTTCGTTCAAGAAAGCACTCGAACGACATTTGTTCCTACTCAGCAAGACCTGAAGGAACAAGACGAGGCTTCCAGAGCTCAACCATGAAGTGCTCGGGGGCTTGTCGATGCGAAACCCACGGGATACCCCGCAAGGAAGAGAGAAGATCTAGTCTAACTAAGATTCTTTCCATGTAATCGTAGTAGTAGTATTATTCTATAATCATACTAGGAACTCTCATTATAAACCGACTAGGACTCCGGCCTCCTGACTATATAAAGGAGAGCGAGGTTCCTAGAGATAGGGACTTTACAATCAATCCAACGCAAAGGCTAACGTCGACCGAACGTAGGGCTATTACTCAATCACGGTCGAGGGGCCGAACCAGGATAAATCGACTGTCTCTTGCGTTTACCGTCGAGTTTTGCATACGCTAAAGCCCAAATAAACTGCCTTGAATACCCCCGTGGCAGGTTATCGGTGGTGAAACATCGACCAGCACCACTACACTGGCTGACTACGCGGAGTGCCACGTCAACAAAAATGACAAAATTTTAGAAGTTTCAATGTTTTGTGTGATACGTATAAGAGTGGCAAACAGACGAGTGCCATCGTTAACTATGGCAAAAACTTAAAAATCCCGCTGCTCGATTCCTAGTCCGGTCGTCCCGACCCCGACCCCGAGTGACAGCCGCCGCCGTCGCCCTCTCCGAGAGGCGAGACCCCCGCGGCTGCCGGTCCCCGTGGCCGCCGCCGCCCGCCGGTCCCCGCGGTCCCCGCGTCCCCCACCGTGGCGCCGCCCGCCGGTCCCCGTCTCCCTTGCGTCCCCCTGCCCCACGAGATCTGTCTCGGTTTCATCCCCGCGAGATCGTGCGCTCACCCTGCCCCAATCCCCATCGCGCCCCGATCCACCCGCTAAAGAGCGGCCTCCGAAATCCGCCGGCGATGGTCGTGTGCAAATGCCGAAAGGTAACTCATTCACTCTCCGCCGATCTGCCGATCCCGGCCCCGTACCCCACGGTTTCTCGCGTTGTGTTTGTATTGGTCAGCCGGCAGCACACCGGCCGGTTTGGGATCTGGGGTGTAAGGTGAGTGGGTCGGCGGCGGCATGATCCCGATTCGACCAAGCGGCGCGAAAAGCTCCCATTTGGGGCCTGTATGCGTTAACAGCGGGCGTTGAGGTTTGCTGGCTCGACGCTTGGGCAATTTCATCGAATACCTCCCTTGTGTTCTTGTAGCAGAATTGATGGTTGTGTTTTGCGATTTGGAGTGCGTTGGTTGACGCCGTCAGTGGCTTCAGCTGCAGTTTTGAGCTGATGGGTTCGCGTGCTTGTTTCAGGCGACGAGGGTTTACTGCTTCGTCCACCAGGTCCCCGTCTGTGGCGTGTGCATATGCTTTCCGGAGCATCAGCTATGCGTGGTGAGTGGCCTTCTCAACTTTTCGATCGTTGCCTCTGCCGCGAACAAAGGGCGTCTAGAGTGAAAACTGGTTCACTCAGAATAGCAATTGAGCTACTGTCGTGGTGTCTAGAATTAGCACTTCTTTATATGCTGCTACCTGGATCTAGTCCTCTGCAACTTTGTCCATCTCATCCACCATACTTTACATTGTTTTGGTTTTCCACATATGACAATGAGCTTGTTGGTCTATTGTATCCATAGGAAATGAATATGTTTTACTTATGTTACGAAACATAAAAGGAACGCGGTATAGCTGTTACATCTTTACAGTCTGAGGGGAATGGAATAATCTGGGTTCCATGGCAAGAAGCTAGTCACAAAAGGTTTTTGTTTTGCTGGTGCCTCTGCTGGAATATCAGCTTTTCCTTTGGATGCATATAATGCCTTAAGCACCTTTTAAGGACTATGCTTATGTCTCAGGGTTTGGTTTTGAGAATCTGCTCCCTATAATGCTTGCATTGTCTTTTGTATTTAGCCTGTCCTATTATCCTTTGCCTGATTCTATCCATTGGGTAGAATGCTGATATCTCCAGGACACAGATTGATGGTCTAAACTATAATTGGTTTTTGGAAATTGAAATATAAACTCAGATTTTGATTGGCAAACATTTCAGTTTTTATATGTCAGGTAAGAAGATCGGCATGCTGCTTGCATTTTACCTTGGGTTCTTAGTGTATTACATTTCAACTTAGATGGTGCATCACATAATTATATATTCTCTCCATTTGTTTTGTGCTACCAGAAAGTTCAGAATTTAATGTACAGACTAGTAACATCTATCCGCAAATTATTGTCTTTGCAAGTCTGTTAGGAAAGGAACTTTTTCCTAGAAACTAACATCTGTCATATTCGTAGGTGAAAAACTATGCTGAATGGGTTGTTAATTCTGAGTATGACTGGCCACAACACTGTTCATCTTGCAATTCAGTTCTCGAAGGTGGAACTGAAGAAACAACACGACTGGGTTGCTTGCGTATGTGATTGTCAATAGAATGTTTGAAGTCACTCATTTTATAATGCCATCTTTATTTAGCATAACTGGTAATTGTTTTTTTGGGTATCCTATAGACGTGGTGCACACGAAATGCTTGATATCGCATATCCAAAATTTTCCTTCCCAAACAGCACCAGCTGGATATGTCTGCCCTTCCTGTTCTGCACCTGTAAGTTGAACCCAGTCTCCCTCTGCGTGCAAACACATTCTTTCATTTTTTTAACTATAATTATTTCCAAACAGATATGGCCACCTTCAAGCATTAAAGATACAGGTTCGCGCCTTCACACTAAACTGAAAGAAGCCATAGTCCAGGTTAGATCCTTAAAATCTGTTCCTGATTGTGCAGTCAAAACCACTAATTTCTCCTTGTAAACAAATTTTCTATGCTTATGCAAGTACATTCGACTTTAATGTATGTTTACTGCAAGATTTTTTTTCTGGTTCTGATACCAGACTGATAATGCTTGCACTTCTCTGGCATGTTGCAGACTGGATTGGAGACAATTGTATTTGGAAATCATTATGTGACAATAGCTAAAGCTGATACACGGACACCTGCTTTTGCATCAGATCCTCTCAAAAATTTATCCAGTACTGATGATAGAGAATCTAATAGTGCAAATTCAGCTAAAGATGCAGCTTTGCCATCAACATTACATTCTGGAATATACTCTTCTGCTGTAGGATCTGGGACAACTATTCATGTTGAACCAGAAATTGTTGAAATAGAGGGTCCTAGTCCTGTATTGACCCAAATTTCAGAACAGGAGTCCAATTTCATCAGAAGTCCAAGCCCACATGGGGTAAGACCTGAGAAATCCCTGTATTTTTCTTCTTTGTTACTATATGTTTGTCTTCTTTCGAGATTTGTTTATTCAGAGCACAGTGATCCTATTTCTTCTTTGTGTAGCCTGGTGCCATGACAAGAAAAGGTGCTACTACTGTTGATAGACAAAATTCTGAGATTTCTTATTATGCTGATGATGAAGATGGAAATCGCAAAAAGTATACTAAAAGGGGTAAGCATGCAATTGGCAGGATGATTTTTTAACAATTATCTGAACTCTGTATTGTGTTAAAATTCGTTTTATGCTACAATTTGGTCACAGATGACTTAAACTAAAGGGAATTTGGTGTTTCTGCCCTACTCTAGGGTCCAATGGTGATTTTACCTTGCTTTTTTAACTTTGTGATTTTTCCATTGTGATTTTGAATTGAAGTGTCAGTTGGGGGCATTAAATGGTGAAAAAATAGAAAAAGAAAAGATGTCCACGCAAAAGGACAACCGTTTGGCTGTTCGACTTCGACAGTCCCTGATCCAACCGAATTCTCTACCCTAACTGCAGCGACGGTGGCGGAGCGTGGCCAGGGGGGCGTGCTGGCTGGCGTGGCTAGGCGGGCAACCCCCTCTCCGGGTGGCCGGCGCGCAATGGGAGCCCAGCGGCCCTGCGCCTGTACTGCTGGGCAGCTTCGGAGGCGTGCTGTGGGCTGCTTAGGGGCGGGCTAGGGCGGTGGATTGAGCTCAAGCGGGTGGGCAGGAGACCGGGCGTTCCTCAGCGGCCTTGCGGACGATTTGGTGGAGGGTGACTTGGCAGCGGTTTGCGGCCATGGAGTCCGGTCGTCGTGGGGCGCGGTGGGCTCGAAGCACGGAGAAGGTGGCATGGAGTCTAGTGTCGGCCGCTCATGGCGGTGTCTTTCTACTAGTCCGGCTTCAGCATCGCACTGGCCAAGGTGCGGGATTTAGTGGTGGCTTGTGGGCTACACGCAGATGAGCCGGTGCTGCCTTCCCAACCCAGGCAGCCACTGCCCGCCGCCAAGACGAGTGGCCTGGGAGGCCGCGACCACTTTGCTGTGATGCCGCGATGCTCGTATCGCTTGCAACAACAATGGCGAACGGGAGGTTGTGAACTGCTAGCACGTAGCCGTGTAGCAGTCAAGCTCAAGCCATCTCAGGTCTCTCTTCCATGCTGAAAGATTGAAGGCCGAGCATGGCAGCATGCGAATTCTCGAGGCGAGGTCGTCCGCCTGGTGCATCTTTACACAACAACAACAACAACAACAAAGCCTTTAAATCCCAAACAAGTTGGGGTAGGCTAGAGTTGAAACCCAGCAGAAGCAATCAAGGTTCAGGCACGTGAATAGCTGTTTTCCAAGCACTCCTATCTAAGGCTAAGTCTTTGGGTATATTCCATCCTTTCAAGTCTTCTTTTATTGCCTCTATCCAAGTCAACTTCGGTCTTCCTCTGCCTCTTTTCACGTTACTATCCTGGCTTAGGATTCCACTACGCACCGGTGCCTCTGGAGATCTCCGTTGGACATGCCCAAACCATCTCAACCGGTGTTGGACAAGCTTTTCTTCAATTGGTGCTACCCCTAATCTATCACGTATATCATCGTTTCGAACTCGATCCCTTCTTGTATGACCGCAAATCCAACGCAACATACGCATTTCCGCGACACTTATCTGTTGAACATGTCGTGTTTTCGTAGGCCAACATTCTGCACCATACAACATAGCAGGTCTAATCGCCGTCCTATAAAACTTGCCTTTTAGCTTCTGTGGTACCCTTTTGTCACATAGGACACCAGATGCTTGCCGCCACTTCATCCACCCTGCTTTGATTCTATGGCTAACATCTTCATCAATATCCTCGTCTCTCTGTAGCATTGATCCTAAATATCGAAAGGTATCCTTCCTAGGCACTATTTGACCTCCCAAACTAATATCTTCCTCGTCCCGAATAGTAGTGCCGAAGTCACATCTCATATACTCAGTTTTAGTTCTACTGAGTCTAAAACCTTTGGACTCCAAAGTCTCCCGCCATAACTCCAGTTTCTGATTTACTCCTGTCCGGCTTTCATCAACTAGCACTACATCGTCCGCGAAAAGCATACACCAAGTGATGCCCCCTTGTATGTCCCTTGTGACCTCATCCATCACTAAGGCAAACAAATAAGGGCATAAAGGATTTAATAAGTGATTATTGGCAGAATTTTGATGCATAAAGGATTGAATTTGTTTAACTTGTGAAAAACTGCATGACTATTGGCAGTTGGTGACTATTTTTGCTAGCAGCGTAATATCCCGTTAACAAGCGATTATTAAACAAGCGGTTCCAAACAGGGCCATAGTCTAAACCGGGTAAACTTCTCTTTTCGTCCATAAGTTAACACCGTTAAGAGGACTTCTCATGGAATAGGGGCAAGCTTATCCTTCAGTTTGATAACGTAGGGGTAAAATCACAGTTTAAAAACAAGGGCATGGACGCCAAAGCCCCTGAACCAAACTATTACTTGGAATATTACCACAAGTTGGGTTACCATGCTCTATCATATTAGCTATCACCAAGTTCTTAAGTATGATGATACTTTCACACCCTGTTTGGTATGTCGGTGTTTACCCAGATTCTGCTGGAATTAAGAAATGTTTCTGGTCAAATTTCTGAGTTCCAAAAATGCCTTTTTTATTTTTATTTTTATTTTTCGCTTGTTATGTACACTTTAACATGTCATCTTCCTGTTCTGAGCATGCATGGCCTCAACTGACTTGAACTTACATTTATAGGCCCAACTAGGGCTGTCTAAACTTTCAAAAATTGTGCTGGTACCAATGTAGCCTTTCCCAAAGGCTAAGGCAGGCTATAGCGGGCTAAGCCTTTTAGTGGCTGAGCAAAAAATATGTCAATCATCAGGTAGTTTTACACATAATCAACATAGAAGATGAAGACATTACAAATACCAATTACCAACTAACTAGTGCCAGATAGTTCAAAGTCTTACTAACACATCAGATCATAGCTTCATAGTTCATACATGATACATCACGGACGCATGAGTTCAAAGTTCAAATTCAAACACAGTTGACAGACATTACATTACATACCAACTAAGCAGTGATAGATTGATAAACAAACATAAAGGCATGGAGCCATTGACTGATAGTCTGATACACATCACACATGCATTTTGGCCTTTGAATAGTTAGTTGTACTCATCTAATCATCTTCAGTATCAGAAGATTCCATATGCACTGAAGTGTTAGCATCTTGATTTTCCTATGATTCAGAAGAGGAGGCTGCAGGCTCAGGCTGCATCAGAGATGCCACAGTCCTGAATTTCTTCCTAGGGCGCACAAGCCTTTTCCTTTTGGATTTTGCTTGTGATGCTGATGCTCCCTGTGATGCTCCTTGTGCTTCTGCTGCTGTTTGTGCACATTCCTGATCTTCTTGTCCTTGATTTGCATTTGGTTCTAATCTAGTAATGAACTCATTGCTGTCATCCTCCAGCACATAATTTATTTCCTTCTCTATGGGATCTCTACTCTTTTTCTCTTTCTTATGCCTTAGTTTGGAGTTAAATTTCAAAATAAAGGTCTCTCATCCTGTCATGAAGTAATCTATTACGCTTTTTTTGTGTGCACTTGGTTTTGTTTAGGTGAACAGAATTCAAGGAATGAACAAAGATGCAAAATATATTCATGTAAGTGAACTGTGAAATAGAACCATTTTTATTACCTGTTAAAATACTGACCAAGTCCTCTCACAACCAGAAGAGCTACATGTCAAACTTAGAATCCTTATGCCAATAGCCTCAAATCAAGTGTAGTCGTGCCATGATTCAGCCACCATGTTGCTGCATGAAAAAGATTATATTAGATTATTCATCAATCACATTAGTTCCACAATTTTCACCTGGATTGAAGTTCTTGTTTCTCCCGTCTTGTGGCAATGTCATGTCCAAAAGACCCTTGCTGTTCCTGATATTTGTTGAGCTCTTCAATGATATTGTCTTGAATTTTGGATTATTCATCAATCACATTAGTTTCACAATTTTGACGTGTGGATTGAAGTTCTTATTTCTCCTGTCTTGTGGCAATGTCATGTCCAGATGACCCTTGCTGTCTTGGTTCAAGCTTCCCAATGTTCTCCAACATGAGATCCAGAAGGTCTCTTTGCTGCTAGTAGACTTGCTGCTGTTATATTAACACTAGCACTGTCAGTGACCACTTGGACAACATTTTCCTCCCCTATGTCTTCAATGCATCTGTCCACAAGGTCAAAGACATATTTACCATCTTTCTTGTCACCAGAGCAGTCCACAGAATCCACAAAAAGGACCCCATGAGCACTATGAAGACTAAATTCATTACTCCCCGGCCCTTATCTGTCCATGTATCTATCGTAGGTGTACAGCCTGAGGTCTGCCATGATTCGTTGTGGCTCTTGAATCCATCCGACACCTTCTGTTTCCTTTTGTGCAAAAATGGTCCACTCATCTCATAGGGACTAGGCCCCCTCAAACCTCTACCAAAGGCTCCGATGGCCTCAACCATATTGGCAAAGCTAGGAACTGTATTGTGTGCAATGCTAGCTTCATAAAAGATCTGCCATATATACTCACAAGCTCTATCTGTCCTCTCTCAGGCTGGGCATTCGGTTTAAACCGCAATTTTGGTTCGGTTTTTTTGGTTTTAAAAAGTTCGGTTTTCAACGAGCAAGAGCTGATCGGTTTATTTCTAAACTGGAAACCGACAGCTTCAGTTTCGGTTTATTACTTAGGTTTTTCGGTTTAAACCGAACTGCTCGAAATGTACTACAGCAAGAAAAAAAAGAAAACGATGCCGCTCCCTGCTCACTGAGTCGCGCCGCTCACACCACGCGCGCCGGTGCCTTAGCTGCGCCTCTCGGCTCCCGCTCTCCTCTTCCCGCAAATCAGCGGCTCGCGGCGGCTGCTGCGCGCCATATGCAGCGCCGCTCACGGCAAGCGTCACTTTCTGTGGCTCATGACTCATGGCTCATGGCCTGGCGGCTGGCGCGCCTCCTCGTGCTTGGCGCTCCTTTCCCTGCTTTCGCGCAGCAGGCGCTCCGCCTCTGCTTTTCGCTGGTTAGGGTTTGAGAAGTGGGGAATTTGTCGCGGGTCATTGGGTCAGGGGTGTCCGGTTGGTGAGCGGGGGAAATTGTGGGCCGCGAAGTAGGCCTTGCAACATCTGTGGGCTTTCGCCGAGTGGGGGATTGGTGGAGGTGGACAGGATTACACCGTAGTTGTTGTAGTTTCCTCGGTTTGCTCGGTTTTCGGTTCGGCTTTGGTGTAAAACCGAGCACCGAGCCAAACACCAGAAACCGA